AATAATAATAATAATAATAATAATAATAATAATAATAATAATAATAATAATAATAATAAAACATGCACACAAAAGAAGTTGTCATACCCGAAGGCTTGACACATGCTTTTCTATGTATATCGACGCCCTGAATCCGAATCTGCAGTCAGAATTGCACCAGCACCCTCCTTAAGTAAAATAAAATTTTAAAAAATTAAAAATTCGCAAAAAAAACACCGTGAAATTGTATTTTTTGTTTTTGTGTTCGGGAATTGTTGTCAGACCCAAAGACTTGACACATGTTTCTCTAAGTGTGTTGACACGGTGAATCCTATTATTATTTCATGTTTGTTTGTTTGTTTTATTTTTTATGTGTGTGTAATTGAATGATAAGATAGGACAGTTTGGATTGTTTAAACGGAGAAGTACCGTTTGCCGAGCGTGTTCACCATGTTATTTGAGTTCAGAACAACATGGTGTTGGCCCGATTGGGGGGAGGGGGGAGCTCTTAAGTGCTAATAAATGAAATATCGCCCCCTTCTAACTCACGAGTCACGCGCGTGTAACCCCCTAATAATAACGTAACTCTTATAAGAACATCCCCTCCCCTGGAAATGAAAGAGAAATGAAAATAAGTTATAGCACAGTAAAAACAAATTGATTTTTTTACTTGTGTTGTATATTAAAATTAATGATAATTAAAAAAGAAATTAGTTGGTGATGCTGACTAACAATAAGATTGCACTAATTATAAGATTTGGGCAAGTTGGGAGTAAAGGAAAAACGCATAAAAATTATCACTCATGGTGCACACGCTGTCGTGGATGACGCATGAGTGAGAGTCTACTAAGCCGATTTAAATGGATTCTAGAATATACTACATAAACACATTAATTTTGATTTTTTCTTCGTAATCTTACATAGTCAATAAAAAAATTGTCAAAAAAATATTTCCATTAATATTGTAAAAATGTACATGCAATAACTTAAATTTATTTATGTTTTTAAAACAAATTAATTAGTTCATATTTTAAAGTCAGCTCGAGTAGATCATGTATCACGTAACAGGCTCGTGGTACATGAGAACATTCATGTATCATGTATCATGTACATGTAGTACATGTACACGCTCATGTACCACGTAACAAGTGTTTCATATACTATTGAAATCAAGAAGAGAGATTCAATGGTGGTTCTGGGAAGGGACACTGAGTTATAGCGTCATTTAAGCGTGTATACTTTATCGCTATCGATATCGTTTCCGAGAAATTCAATTTTCCGAACTTTCTCCATGTGTGATTTTCTGTGCGATTTAGCAAGCAATCTTGACTGTGCCAGCTTTATAATGAATAAAAGTGTATATAAAGCAAATTTTGTTGTATTTTTTTTTTAAATATTCCATTGTAAAGTACTTTTTGTACCGTTGTTTTTCTCCATTTTTAATCATATCGTTTTTTTTCATTGTTTAGTTATTATTAGACAAACAACTTCCTAATCAAATACGCAGGCTGGTAATCACTGTTTCATTAGAATACTTCTAAGCCAAAAATATTGAAAACTGCAAACACAGTTGAGTGAAATTCAATAGAGTTTAGACACTCGTAGAAGACAATTGTCAAATGTGACCATATTTTGAAATCATAAAAACGAGACATTATTATTCCCAACGATTTTGTCACAACATATAAATGGCAAAAGAGGGCTTTAAACATTATTATGTAACTGATATTGAGGTTAGGTAATTTATATATATATATATATATATATATATATATATATATATATATATATATCGATAGATAGATAACTTTCATGATGTAGTAGCATTCAATTCATGCCAACCGAAGACTCCTTTAGAAAAAAAAACATTAGAAATTAAAAAAGGATGCATTTGTTTAATTTGCACTTTCATTAATTATGAAGTAAGTCGGTATATTTCAATTAACACTGCATACTGAGTCGTACAGAAACTCAGAAGCACAAGTATCGGATTATTGAATTTCTCCATAATGACATCGTTGTGATAAAGCATATAAAAGTTGAAATTACGCCAAAGCTGCATTTTCTCTCCCTAGAAACCACAACCGGACTCTATAAACACTTGTTACATGGCACAATATCTTGTCGCACTCAATTTTTTGTAGGCAAATGCAAAGGAAACGAATATATAATGATAAATATAATATTGTTGACGGCATTTTATGCTGAAAGTCATTGCCACAAAAAAGGATCATTTTAGCGGCACGTTTTCCGGTCAAAAGAATAAGGGACTGTCCCGGGCTATGCGGGACGTCTGGTCACCTTATATGTCGAAAATTGAAATAGTGTCCCTTAAAATGTGTCTTGATTTCTCCCGTTACTATAATTACTGCCTCGGGCATAACTGAATCCTTAGATCATGATTCTTAAGACAGAGAAGTGGCGGCTGGTGCCTCAATAAACTGGGGATTACAGATCCATCCAATGACGGAAATGTAATTTCCAAAATTCAGAACATTAATATATAATAAAACGTATCAATTAATGTAAATTAATTAAATCTAAGCTTAATAAAAGCCTATATTGAAACATCACTTACATAATTTTATGCATAGAGTTCACGTCAGGCATGTTCATCTCCCGCACACACGGTTCTTTCTTTGATTTCCAGTAGGTACAGGAGTTTTTTGTATTAGTTCTGCATTGACATAATTGACGGTAATAGAATTCACACAAAACAAAAGAATAACTTGTTTTCGAAAACACACTCTAACACTGCAACAAGCACCATTGTTTGAATACGTTTTACACACTAGTTCATTTAATTTATCTTGGTTGTTATTACAGCTACTAGTGGTGATGATAACGAAATAAAATTATTTGATTTCGAAAATTTTACTACCCTGGTACATTTTCAAATTATGAAAGATCTTCCGCACAAACTCGTATTCACAACGACACACTCGCAGACCCGTCGCAGGAGTCGCAGATTAGCGATGCTGGTAAGGTCATTGCACACACCATGAGAGATATAAAGGGACTTCCTTCCAGAACGGCCAACTTTACACACAGGATTCATCAAATGTAAATTTTTAATCAAAAACTCAACTTCAAATTAACATATATCTTCAAAAGTCATAAACAATAGTCACGAATTGTCTGAACTAGTGTCCTTTCAATAACATGCGAATTTCTTAAAATAAAGTTGCCGGTAATGCCAGAAGAGCACCGCCTGAGAGAGCACCAGACGCCACAGAAAGCGCTCAATGGGCGCTCTTTCATTTCACAATGATTTCATATAGTACATCGATATTACTGCAATATCTTGAACAGTAAATGACATTAAAAGGAAAATGTATATTCCTAACATGTTATAACATTTTTTTTTACTAATTGGGGGTTATAAAATCATGCATCCTCTAAGCACGAGTAGCCACCGACATTGACAATATTCAAACCTCACAAAGCATACATTTAGAAA